AATTGATACAATTTTCTAGGTTATGTTGAGTAATAAAAGCAAGACTTAATAAGAAAAAAACCTCCAAAAACATCAATTACATTTTCCACCACAATTTCCCCGTGATTTCTTGTGAGTTTCTTGTAAAAACGATCAAAAATAGATTGAATTTTAGAAAAGTTGATGAAGTGTTGAAAGTGTCAGAAAGTGTTGTACAGATTTAAGCCATATTATCCTTCCCTTTGGCATATTAAAGACACACACGACATAAACTTTAATTGACCGGAAGTCTGTAGTTGAAGCCAGTGGAATTTTTCACGCTGACTAATCGACAGGATTAAGTTAATTATATCCTCAAAGTCCTGAGTGAAATGGCTCTTGAAATTCTTCGGCACTGAGAGAAAAATGTAGTTTCCAAGTGAGGCAAAATGATAATCTTCAATGTTATGCGAAGGGAAATTAATTCAATGTAAAATCCATTAGCTGGGAGAAAAGCATTTCGCGTGAATCGAATGCCAATGGATTTTCCGGCGAAGGAGGGAAAGGCAAATATACTCAAAATCCCCTTTTGTTGATTGTTGACAAAGCCGCGAAGATTCTGGCAATAAAATGCTTAATTGCAGTCGCGACAATTATTGACAATTAAAGGGGTGGGCGAATTTGTGGTGCCTTCGCTCACCTCTAATCCCATCCATTGTGGCGCGTCTTGGCAATTCTGCGTGCGCGTCTTCGCCATACAAATGGCATCTCTCGCCGTGATGTGGATTGATGCTGACTTTGATGGTGCTGGGCGCAGAAACTTGGGGAGTTTATCGCTTAAATAGATAAATGTGTCAACGACTCAATAGCAAAGCCACGAAACCACACGAATTTATCACCCTGAACTCACACAACCACCACCCCCCGAATGGATCTCCAGATCCTCACGGCGTGACGCCCAGGGAAATCTCGGGCGTTCCCACGGAATGTGGCTCAACTGTGAGATGGTGGAATAATAAATTAACATCAATTACCATTTCGATTTAATTAAATGTTTGTCAATTTGCGTATCGCTGCAGTGTGCACACATTGGAAGGATTGCCATCACTCATGATTGAGCCCCGTTGACAAACACACTGGAAATTAATTCAATTTATCAATCTTCCCGGTAACTTTAACAGGGGTGAAACACTTCCACCCACTCGAATCTTTGTGCGCGGTGAAACTTTACGCGCGCGTGGGATAAAAAAGTCCGCGATTGCGGGGGTGGAAGAGAGGGCAAAAGCATGGAGTTTCTGACTTCTGGGAGTTCATGCAAAAGGTCATAAACTTAAGAGATATCGAAATGATGTTTCTCATCTTGTTAGCCAAAAGAATTCTGTTGCCAAAACACACAAAATGTTCATATCATTTTGTGCGCTCAGTGAAACATTATATCATTTCATCCCTCGCTTGTGGGGTTTTCTTGCATTAATTTGCAACTCCCGGCGGAGAATGACAGGTGAGGGTACTTGAAACACCCCCTGACGACCCTCTTTTGGCTCCAAAGCACAACTCCGTCGGGATCAGTGCTCAGGGTTTGAAAAGGAGTGGAAATAAAAATAATTATTTTGCTCATTGTACTTACGCAAGCAGGATTTCCGTTTAATAACGACACAGGGGAGCGGTAAATCCCAGGGAAAAAAGTGTAAACTGTGCAAAGTAAAACTTAATTAAAACTCTATGAGAAATTACTGCACTTCCCTCGTGCAGCTCAGGTGGATTTGAAGGCACTGAAAGGCACTTTGGAGGATTTTTCCGGTGGCTTTGTGCAATAAATTCAACGATTAGGGGAAGGTGAAATGGGAAAATGCGTACAATATCATCAATTTCAATCTGCATCAGCAGTTTTCTTGCCAGATTCACGGCCAGAGAAAATGCGTAGCTGGAAAACAGAGCGTGAATTCGATATGAAAACCATCCCAAAAAATGTACAAGTTTTGGCTATTTGCGTGGCATAAAATAGTTTTTAACAGATTATCCAGACAAAGATTAGAACTAGTGAGAGTTTAAATATTTGGCGGGCGCGCGCAGCTTATGCTCTGCAGCATGAGAATGCGAAACTTGTCGAGGGAAAACCCTGTTTTTCAGGCAGATAGAGAAGAAATATCGCTTTGGCATATATGGGGGAAATGTAGCCCCAGAAGTGCTCTACACACAGGGGAAATATTCTGATAAAAAAGTTTTTTCGTTTCGGAGATATTTAGTAAAATGTGGCCAAAAAACTGACAAATTTTTTACCAAGAGGCGCACAAAAGTTCGTTTTTGACCAACAAGGAGTGATTTAAAACTTCCATGATGTTTTAGAAAGTAGTAGATAACTTTAATATCTATCTTTTGAGGCCAATTTTGGGAAAATCCGCGGAAAATTGGGCGAGATATGAGCCCAAATGTGCGGCGAAGTGGAGGAAAATGGAAAAAGGCTCCAGAAAAGGACAGAAATTTATTCCCTTGTGCTAGTGAAATTCACTGAATCAATTCAATTTCATGAATTTGACTGAAACCCCCCCTTTCCCCAAATTAATCATTAGGAAAAACATTATTCTAAATATGACCATCAACTTTCAGCACAAACACAAAGTTTCCCAGGCAATTCTCCGCCAGTGGAAAATTTCCCATTCGAGCATGAAGTTGAAGTCAGGAACAAAGGAAAGCGAGTGAGTTGATGAAAAAGCATGTGAGCAAGAAGCAAAGGAAACATTTAGTTCATGAATAGAGTGTATTTTATCGCAAAACACCCACACCAAAAAGTCCTTTACAGTCATTCTTTCGTGGCATTTTCATTCAAGTGGCGCGGCAAAATGTAAATTAATTCCCATAAACAAGTCACTTGTTTTCCATGTTTCATTGATATAATGTAAGAGCGAGTGAAAAGCTACGAGAGACAATGGCAAAGCGACAAGTTACTCAAGTTTCAAGACATTCTTCATTACCTCAAGAAAGGTTAATTTAAATAAGGGAAAAACGGGGAAAATTGTGATATTTTCCCGCCTGTTGTGGATTTAAATCCACAACAGTCGGAAGAGCGTCAGAATAAGTAATAATAATATGAATTTTGGGGTGTTTTCATATCCAACAGTGGGTGTAATTCAGGGTCAGCGATGATGACGATGCCAGAGGTGAACACCTGGGCGACATTGAGTGTAATTCATGATGGCAAATGCCAATTTGAGGGCAAACTACCGAATGGTTAGCGTCCACTGCGGTTGCATGATGGAAAAGTGAGGGATTTCATTAAAATTCCATGATTTCATTCATACAACTTTTATTGTTGTCATCGTCGGTCAGCAGGACATGAAGGGCTGAAAACGCTGAAAGTGAGACGCCAGAAAATAGATGTTATTTAATAAAATTAACGTCACGTCATTTCATCGTAAAAGGTCCATTATATATCGTTATATAGTTGGTAAAACTATCTGTGATCCTTTTGTGGAAAACACTCTAAAAGCCCAAACAGTGCATTTATTAATATTCATGCTTTTAACATAGAATCACGTGCACTTGATATGAATATCGCAAGAATTTTCAACAGGACGAAGAAGTTATCCCATTCAAGAGGGAGATAATATGGCTAAACGTGGTGTACATAGAGTTTAACTTTGAAAAATTGTGATCTTCATAAGATTTCATTATGATATGTCAGTAAATGCAGAATTTACCAGCTTAGGCGCAAGATTGAATAATTTTTAAGGTTTGTTAACGGCAAAGTTTCTCTTAAATTCATAACATAACCTGGAAAAATGTAAAGAACAATTATTTTTCTTAAAGAATTACTTTTATTTCTTTTAAAAATGACTTTTGGACGCATCATATTGATGATATTCAAGCACTTTCACTTCTTAAGTACTTCAACTGAACTGTTTACCACTTCTGACCTTATTATCTCCTGCTTGATCCCACTTTAGAAGGATTCTTGTGTCGTAAATCATCTCAAAACCGGCTCAAAGGCTTCAGTTTACCCTCAAGAATTGTCAACACCTTTAAATTTCTTCGAGGAAAAACCCTCTCACGCGAATTCACAGTAAAAAGAACTCTTTGAGACCGCAATTGAAAGTGTTGTCTTATCGTTCATTCCTAATGACATGCATATAAATTAATTATTCCCTTTTGTCAAATTGACATAATGCGCTTTGAGCACGCAATTGCGGACTTTTCCACACGAGACTCTTTCCTCCTTTTTTCTTCCACCAAAGGCTTCAAAGGCTTGAGCATTTGACTGATGTCCAATTGCGAGGACACTTTCGTGTTATTATTTCAGTCACGTACACTCGAGAGAAGTGAAGAAAGTACTCTGAGGACCTTTTGTACTCTTGTCTCACACCCCAAATCGAGGTGTTTTCTCTTGATACAGTTTCGTCTCTCGTTTTCTTTTTTTTCGTGGAAAAAAAATCCTCAACCATATTCCGGAAATACTTGTCAATTTTCCCCGATGAAAATTGAAATGTGTGTGTGCGGAAACTTCAAAGGAAAACCCCATCGTAATATCGTAATTCAATTTTCTCAAATAGATTCAAAATTTTCATCCATCAATATTCACCTTTTTCTCACACTTCACGCGAAAACGAGGAAGTTTTGAATTTTGGGGTGCGAGGTAAAAAAAAAGAGTGAAAGAAGAATTGCCACAAGAGTAACTTTTCCATTAATAAAAAAACACAGCCACAAAAGTTAAACAACAGGAGAAATGAATAAATCTGAGTGCTTTATATGTCTGCATTGAGAGTCAGAGAAAAGCCCGTGAGGATTGGAATGGACGCTGAAAGTACTCAATTAAATTAACTTTCACTCCCAAGGTGGACAATGGATGAGAAATTGCAGTGAAATCGATTTGTGGTGGGCCAGAAACTTTTGCATTAAGACAGACGCGCGCGCGCCCCCTTTTTTTTCGTCCGTCCATCCCTTAATGGAATTGAATATGTCGCTTTTTGTTTGCACATTTGCCACAGTTGAGCAGTGAATAAACACCAGGATTTACACAGAGAAAATGTAGATATTTATTTGTGTGGGGATAAATATGGAATTCTTACAACATTGTGCGCTAAAGTTATACTTTAAATATGATTAAATGTGATGTAAATTGCACTCGGAGTAATTAATTTGCCGCTGCGGCTGAAGTTGAAGGTTCCTGCTTTGGTTCATCCGGATAAGTGTTGGGAAAGCCCAGCAAGTAGTCCGAAATGCGTCCAGCCTCGCGAAGACCACTCAAGAAGGCTCCGTGTACGGTCGCAGGATAATTGCGAATTGTGTGTTCGCCTGGAAGAGAACAAAAGTGTCTCTGTAAATCTGCTCCGCACTGTTAAAGCAGAGAAACTCATCGATTGCCCAGAGAACAGAATAGTCTACATTGTGGCGCTTTCACTCAAAAATTTTTAAAGTTTCCCCCTCCACAACTGACAAAGTGACGATGGCGAATTTTGAAGAGAGAGAGAAAATCATTTATCACGCTTTTTGCTTCCTCTTTTGCCCCTCTTTTGTGCATGACACCGACAAGGAAGTGACAAAAACAGATTTCTGGAAGACCATCCATGTGTTTATTATCGTTTCCGTTCACGTGCTTCTTCACCCTCAGCCCAGAATCTTGTATCTCACTTGTCGTGCCCATTGTTTCATTATCTGCGCCCGGAGACGCGCGGGCGTCTCTTGACAGCCGCCATTCAGTCCGGAGCGAGTGAAAAGTCGTGGGATTGATTGGACTTACCGGCGAAGAAGAGGCGCGGCATTGCTTTGGTGTCTTCCGTCGCGGCGCCCGAGAGCGGCGGTGGCGTGACAGGAGCGGCGAGGAGATCGTAATCACTTCCGGACGAGCCGACAGAGACGAAGCTGTAGGAGCCTCGCGCCCAGGGATCTGCTCTCCATCGCGTGACGACAGTTTCGCGCGGCTGCGGCACGGCGGAGTTGCCAAAGATGCCCTTCAGCACTGCGATGCACCGGCCGACGATGACATCGTCAGAGACGTTCTCCATGATGGCGGCGCTCTGGCCGGCGACGAGAGCCAGCAGAACCGGCGACTGCGAGATGCTCCAGAAGAGGAACAGCTCACCTGCGGCACAGAGAGCACCAGAGGGCGTGAGTGCAAACATTGACCGTGCAGAACTCTGCCACAGACGCAGAGTGTAATTACGATAATGTACTATTGATTGAAGACATTTTTCCCTCTGCAGCCCGGAAAAATGTTGGCAAGAGTTTGAAATATTATCTTTGATGGGAAACTCCTCAATCGCGTTCGGGGCAATCTCTTTAAAATTTCAGTGGCTGCTCTTCGAGGGCACTTTGTCACCCTTGTGAGGGTGGCAAATATGCAAATGCGATGGGAAATGAAGTGAAATGCGCATCTCGCAGAGCAATGCTATTTGTGAATCGACATCAAATGTACTTTCTGAGGAATTTGTAGGGAAATTTAATGAATTTGATCTTTCTGGAATTTTTCCAGCAATAGAAACATGAAGTAATACAAATTCAGTTGAATTCACCTTCAAAGAAAAAAAAAACAAAATGCTTCAATAAATATCTGGCAGTTCTAGAAGATCCAGAAGATGGAGAAATCACTTTAACTTTATGATTATTCAATCATTTATTTTATGAAACTGCAAGAAAAGTCACAAAAGTTGCTTCAAGCTGAATTCGAAGTGGGAAATACAATCGGAACTTCTACATGTATTTCAAACTCAATCAGCTGATGATGATATCGGTCTTTTTCTACACAAAAAGCTTCTCTTTCGTGCTCAAAATTCCTTCTCTGTTGGCCAGAATCACACTAGAAAATCAGAAGTGCTATGAATAGCGTCCCCCACGCCAACTTTGCTGCCCTCTAGCGAGTATTTGCTCATAAAAACAAATAAAACATGCAATTTTTAATAGTTTCTCGCCTTTCTCGCAATTTAACTTGGATAATAATCATTATTTTATTACTTTTATTCACAGTTTCAATGCAAAATCAATATTGAGACACTTTTGATTGAGACAATTGAGATTCCTCAAAAATCGACTAGTGAGCAAACCTAGATTTGGAGACCATATAAGCGAATCTGTGCCATCCTCGATGCCTCGAATATTGCCACAAAGGCGTGAAAATGTCGTTATCAGTGCCTTTTCGGGGTGTGAGTGTGGGTGCAAGTTTCCCAATAATTTCCCAATAGTCCCACGGCCGTGCGTTGTTTATGTTCGGGTCGTGTTGGGTATGTCTCTCGATGCTGAAGCCAGCGATACTGGCTCTCGACTTCATTTCCTCCCCCTCGCATTTTCCTGTCCCCGGTGGAAAGCGATAGGCGCCACTTTATTGACGATCCTTATCGCTGTATGATGTGTGTTTGGGTGTGCCTGAGACACGCTGGAGCTCCAGAGGGGTTGGGAAGTGTGTTTTTTCCAGGGGGTTTGAGGGAGTTTGGGGGGTTGAGGGCGCGCAGCCTCTTGCCAGAGAGACTCACCACCATTCCCATGTGAGGAGTCATACAGGAAATTATATGCAATGGAAATCATTTACATTTTTATTGAGATAAAATTTAAATAGCTGAGCATGGGAATAAATAATAAATTGGGCGTCGTCTGTGAGACCGCAGAGGAAGTGGGGTTTTGGTGGTGGAAGTAGTAGAGAAAAAATGTATACTTAATTACATTCTGGGGCTATGTAAGTGTCTGGACGAAAGGCAATTGCTGCCGCCAGAATTAATGGGAAAGAGGAGCAAAAATATCCGCGCAAAAGGCATCAAGAAAGCGCGCCTCTTCTGATTAGCTTCACACTTTTAGAGGGTTATATTGTTGGGACCCTCTCGTAAACCCATATAAATTTCTTCCTCGCCCATTTTCTCTTTCCCCAGGACTTAAAATCATCCTCTCGTAAACCCAATAATAAGGCGTCTTCGGCGACTCGTAATTCAATCGGACCGCAATATTCTCGCTACACCCTTCTTTTCTCTACTCTCACCAACCATGCCATTCATTCCTTAAGGACTCTAATCCAATTTCCACTTATCGCAGAAAGATGTGAGTGTATGCTGAGGGTTGGCGGGCGGAAAGCAGCTCAGTGGAAAGCGAGAGGGAGCTTTTGAGTATCCCTTTTTTCTGCCACCCGGAAAGCTTCTTCCTCGCACTGTCTCTGGATATTTAATAAGGATGGCACACCCTGAATGACGGTTCAATGTGAAAATAATAAAAATGGGAAAATAATATAAGAACACTGGAGGATTTGAGCATTCGGAGCTCTCGAGAGCGCTGGATGTGCGATAGAGAGAAGATTATGTACAGCAACTGTTGAGAATATTTGAGTTGTGAAGTCTCTAATATCTAGCCTAGAGACAGCCTAGAGTGGTCGTTTCTCCACTGTAGAGAAGACCGTGCAAAGGTGAGCAGAAATGCAACATCATCTTCGAGGAAGTGAGCAACATGCTTGGCTGCTCATGAGGCAATATTGGAGGAATTTTGCAATAAATCCGAGAGCATCAAATTTTCCCAACTATCTCATCTCTTTCCAATTGATTGTACGCCTTTGTCCTGGTCCTGTCTGTCAAGAGACACTCGCAAAGTGTCGCTTTTCGCATTGAAACTCTGTGTGAGACATTGAGGAATTTCCAGCATTCAGACTATCAGTTCGCAAGAAAATAAATCATATTTGACATCATGTCTCTGATGGCATTTAAATTGATATTTCCTCACTCTGATGTGGCACACTCTCTCTCTCTCTCTCTCAGGAATCTATTCCTTTTATGTATCAAAACTAAGAGAGTTTTCCATGTGAGCATAGCTGATCAGAACAGTGAAAAGGTATAAGAAGAATTGCGCGATTCCCGCACCTTTTCTGGCCTGCGGAATGCAACAAAGTATGTCGTCCAATTTATTTTTATTGTTATCGCTATTGCGACTTTTTCAATTAAAATTTAATTTTCACGCTACCAAAACCATCAGCATTTGCAAATAATTGATTGTATGTGACATTTATTTGCTATTTCGCGCCTTTTCCACCCCGCCGGGGCAATCTTATCACAAGGCCAGGAAGACCATCTTCTTCTCCATGAATTCTTTAGAACCACTTTCTTCCCCAGGCTGAATAAAATATATCAAGACAGAGAGAGAGAGAGAGAGAGAGAGAGAGAGAAATAAAATCAAGGGGCAATGCACAAATTGTCATAAATTGTATTAGAAAAATCAAAAATTAAAAATTTGCATAAAAGTAATCCAAAAAAGATTATTTTCCAAGTAAAACTGCAAAACAATCAAAATAAACATATTTTCAAGCAAAATATTTAAATAAATTAAAATATTTTCGCCATATTCGGCCGACAGAGGGCAGTAAAGTCGGTGTGAGGAACGTTATTCATATCGTATTTTTCGCATAATTTTCTCTATCTTCTCACGCATTTGTCACACTTCGTGACTTTCTGGCGTGATCCTGGCAAGGAGAAAATGAAATTTGAGAGCGAGAATGAAGCTTTTGCACACATAAAAAGACTGGACTCACGAGGAGGTGATCAAAAATGGCGAAATTGCGGAATTTGAGGAGTTGAAATTTAAACTTATGGCAAATTTGTGACTTTTTCCATTTGACAAAGTCAGTAATATTGCCAAAATAAGTGTACCTAAATCAAAATTTAAATAAAAATCACAAATTGAATAAATAATCACAAAGTTAATGGTCTCAAATCGCAAATGACTTTCCCCTTTGGCTGGAGATAGAGTGTGAGAAAAAGATGCAAAACTTCACTCTGGTCAATATTGTTGTAGGAGGTTTTTTTTACGATCGAATTTTGCGCTGATTGCAAGCTATAAAACTCCTCACCAGGAGTCTCCAAAGTGAGAGATATTATTGCTTGTAGAAATATGATTATTAAATCGCTCTTTGATGATTGCGCGATGCGCTGCAAAATTGTCATCGTGCATTCTTGCCAGTGTTTGTGCGCCATAAATTCCGTGCAACAGATTTTCCTGCATGTTCGCGGGAAATCCCACAGCATTTCCCTCATGGCAGGAGCACAGCATTTTCTTCCTTTGGTGTGTGCCAAAGGCGATAACAAATTCGGAACCATTACGGATTTATCAGTTTCCGACTGGATTGATTGCATTAACTGGGCTACACTTTTATGGATGGCCATTACATCGTGTTGGGTTTTGGGGGAAGACAAGGCGAGGGTGGCTTCTATTTGATTTGCTGCACAAAATGGGGATGTCCTTAATTCAATTGTATCGAGTTTCCTTCCAATTGACGAAAGTCACAGTTCGTCTCGTCTGCGAAGCTTCATGGAAAAAGGGAAGCAATGCAGCAAAAGAGGGTCAAACGCCCGTCTTTCGATACCTTTAATTGCATGACGAGGTAATATTTGATGGAAACTCGAGACGTGGCAATAGATTTAAGATAAATCCAAGGGGTTAGTCTTTTTTTATTATTTTTAAATTATGAAAATGTTTGTTATTACATACAAATTCTGATTTTTTTTTGCTTATTTTATCCAAATAATTTAATATTTGATTGAGAGCATTAAGTTTCCTTAAAAATCGCCTTGTGACTTCCCCAATCTTCCCCTAAACTAAAGGGAAGATTATTTACTGTTGAGTATGCAGATTAAATTCTCTTTGAGTCCTTTTTCTGCAAAAACTCCCAGTATTTTATTCATTAAATTTCTCCTCTCTCGCTTGCGATCCGTGAAAAATAAATCACAAACAATGAAATGTGCTCAATTCAGCACGAAAAAAGACCAATTCAATCGATTTTATTCCACTTCGCATCTTCTTGCTTCGAAAATACCACACAAAAACATGGCAAGGGAAGCTTTCTGTCGACTCATTCCGACTGAGTACTCTTCAATTGTGATGATTAACAGAGTTATATTGCAGTTCATCTGCAGCTTTGCGCGATTCATTGACGAATGCTTGAATGTGCGCAAAAATTGTAAATTAATTGCACTTTGGCATGAGAATTTTGGGGCTGCTTTACGAGATGGCATTTTGTGAGGAATTAAATTTCTGACGCGATGGCTGAAATTGAAATTTGCACAAGAATTTGCAACTTTATTGTCGATGTGGCTGTTAAATGTGAATAAAATTTATGGCCAGAAAAAGGATTACCGTCATCTCGTCATCATGCGAGTGTGCTTAGTTTCTGGCTGGATAGCTTAAGATTCTCTCCCTATAAGCCCATGTGGATGACGGAGACACTTTAGCTCCCTAAATCACACCCTTGCAAATTGCTCGTTGGCAAAACACTTTAACTGGCAAACTCGCGAGGCTTTTCGCAGAAAATTCATCAAGTCGAAATGATCTAAGGTTAATCGCTGAGCGAGATGAACTCTCTGGAGTGAATTGAGCATTTGTGCTTGAATAGGAGAAATTTTTGGTCATAAAATTCCACCTTTCGCACCATAAATGGACGATTTGTGTGCATTGAGAGACTCTGAATGGGCGTTCGCGGGGCCAAAAGTGGAAAAATGCCATGCAAATTGAGTGCAATTGAGCGTCTGGGCGGCTGCAAAGTGGTCAAGCGTGGCGGCGAGAGATTTCAAACAATTGGATTAGTCCATAAAGGGACAAGAGTGCCGTAGTGAGAAAATTATGGCACTCAATTTGACAATATCGCAACAATTTGCAGCCAATAAATTGATAGGAATTCCTCCACTCTCTCTGTCTCTCTCTCTGTCCCCAAAATGCCTTCATAGCTAGCGCGGGAAAATCGAAAGCGCGCCCCACAGCCTTTTGAGAACACCCTCTTGTGCATTCTCGGGCATTGTTGCCCGATTAATTGACTATTAGCGCAAAAGTTATGTGAGCACCCTCTTCGTGGCCAACACGCGAAAGGCGAAAAGCGTTGGCAAAATTCAACACAGTGCGGAAATTGAATCCGTTTCTCGGCTTCCTGATCATGCGAGCCTTCAGCGAAAAGGGAGGCGAAAAAGAGCACCAACTTCATCATTCCATTCTCTTGACTTTCGCCCAACAGACAATTGTTCGCGCTTCCCTCCAACCCGCGTGCACTCATTTATCGTGCAAATTTTCAATTACGTCGATCCTCGAGTGTTGGAAACTTTTCACGCCAATTTCCCAGCAAATTATCACGTCAAACGCTCAATTTACCGAAGAGATTGCGATGTTATTTGGCAATTTGCTCGATGTTTTGGCTGTTTTTTCGCTCAAGATTCCAATTCAATGTCGTTATGCGCGCGGTGGTGGAGTTTGAACTTGAGACTCCTCCCACTCCGATGCTCCGCCCAGTTCAGCACTGTCGACACTGATTGAATGCATTTCTGCTGAGACAGCAGTGGAATTTGTGGCAAAGTAGCACAAAAGAACATCAAAACACGTCTTTTGGATGAAAGGAAACATGACGAAAAGACAAGAGCGTCTTTTCTCATTGCGCTTCACTCATTGAAATGGAGATTCAATTGGCACAAATGTGATTTTCCTTTGCTGCACACATCACTCTCCTTTCCTTTGTACATCTCAAGAGGCTGACAATCCTCTGTGTCTCTCTCAAGGGAGTGAGAATTACTCCCACCATTCTTCCTTCTTTGATGTCTTCTGGTCATCTTACAGTACACACGTGAAGTTTTGAGCATTGATTCGTTGGACAGGAAATTCCTGGCAACATTTCTCCTCTTTCATCTTCAGCAGCTTTTCCCACACAAATACATGAGACATTTTCCAGGTAATATAAAGGCACAATATAGACGGCGAACAACAATAAAAATAGCCAATCGTGCAACATGGAATATTGAATCATGGCCGATGCGAGACGGAAAGGCGAGTGCATAAATCGGCCACGGGTGAAATGTGATTTTTATTATTCCACGAACGAAGGAAAAACCTCCCCGCCTTGAGGGATGGCCAGTGGCAATCGGGAAAAATTACAGCCAAACACTGTCTTTTGGCGCGCTCCAATATCCATCAGGCCACCTTCCATCCTTTTACTACCCGCTCGTGCTCCATCCCGGTCAGCTCCGGGTCGTTTTTCATTGTTTTACAACCAATTTTATTAGGCAGATCTCTTGAGTTATTTCCCAGCCACTCATGCTCGCCAGCAGCATTTCGGATAAGGCGAAAGATATGCTGCTGTGGAGCTATTTTTCCGGAGCCACTCGAAGGGCTGTTTTTGGATTCGCCGAGAGCAATTGAAGTGGAAATTGACTCAACGTTGGATTTCTCAATAGCTGACATGCTGTGTAATCAAAAGTGCACATGCTTTATGTGAAATTTATATGGAAAAATGACCTAATTTTCACTTCCTTCAGTTCAATTGCATAAATTAATCATGCGCATCGAAAGGGGCAAGTCATATATACATATATATGACTTATATATATGAAAAACTCACCTCTGCTGGCTGTTGTGCTCCCGACGTGGCCAAAGAGGTTCGTGTTGGTGTCCCAGAAGATGCGATCGAAGCACAGGACAACCTTGTTGAGGTTCCCGAAGCCCAGACGCTGGATCGCGGCTTGCTTCCAATCCGGCAGCGGCGGCTCGAAGCGCACCGCGTTGACCTGGTTGGTGGACAAGGGCGAGATTGCCACCTTGAGGACGCCCAGAGTCAGAGTGCAGAGCACGAGATCGGCTGTTGGCGGAGGAAGAGAATTTGGTGAGCATTATAGAAATTCTCATGTTTCTCCGTGTGTCGCACAAAACTCTCTCGTGACTGATTACCACCTCCGCGACTTGGTAATTGACTCTGAAAGTGGTGGGTGAGACTTTTCCACCCACGACACAGTCAGCTTTGCCTTCGGGGGGCCCGCAATCACGCCACTGAATCATGTGACTGGCAGAGGAATCACGCAGTTTAATAGAAAATCAACAATGGAAAAGAGGTGAGAAAGAGAAGCCTTTGTGATTTGCTGCCTCTGCGCCAGCAGTCTTGTCTAATTAGAAACTCACCGAGGGCGAAACATTGTACAAAAGACCCGAGGAATCCCTGTTGTCCCCTCGGCTTTGCCCATTTCTGGGCGCACTTCAATGCGCGAGATGGAAAAAAGTGCGCGCGCGGTAAATGAAGGATGAATCTGACAGAGTAAATATTGCCCACTGGTTATCATCATTAACGTACAATTGTTACACTTTCAAGTAACACAATTCAATTTATCTCATTTCCATGAATAGAAAACTCTCCGGCTTCTCAGTGGCCAAAGTGTGCGACACACGCAAGGATCGACTTGGCGGCAAAATGCGACCCAATTTACCCACCACAGGAATTCTCCTTCTCTCTCTCTCTCTCTCTCTCGCACTGGCGCGAAACTCGCAGCATCAATGGGCATTTTAGATGAAGAATAGATGGTACAATAACTAATAAATAAGACGACCGGCATTTGACGTGACTTCTCCTTAGAGAGTCTCTCTGGTGCATTTTGCCGGTGGAATTGCGAGAAATTCACTGACTTCTTTCGCCAAAAGAGCCAAAAAGGTAGTGAGGCAACGCCACAGTGACGACAAAGTCTTGTTGCCATTTCGACATTAATTGGACATAAAAACCTTCAATATCCGCAGAAGAGTGCAATGGTGAGTTCAGCCACCTTAATATACACTGGTGGATATTCTGTTACCATAAAATGTGTGTCTCCTCGCCCAGCATAGATCATTCTTCATGCTCAGAGTTGCAAGAAATTTACACAAGTTTAATTAAAAGTCGCACCGTTTTCTGTGGAGGAAAAATATTTTTCACTCACAGCACTTTTATTTCTCAGTCGGTGGCAAATAGTCGCTCCAACATTGCACTCAACTTGATGAACCATCGACAGCACAATGAGAGCTTTGGCTGCTGAATGGAGAATCTCTGTGACATTTCTATTAGGTTCAGTGAATCCATGAACTTTTTATCACTTCTGTGTGTGTTTTCCTTTCAGCGGAGGCTTTTATTAGTTGAGATTTACATCACAGCTAATATCTGTAATTGCGCAAAAAAATCGAACTTCGCAAAATCGACTCAGATAATTTTAAAATGACGAAATATGAGGAAATAAGGAGGGGACACTTTTTTGATTTTCGTGTTTGGTCAAACTTTTCTGTTGAAGTAATAGAACCAGAGTTACAACTGCTTGAATTTCATGAGTTGGATTTCGTATTGCATATGAAAATTTCCATGCTTTCTTTCCTTCTAACTAAATCGAATTGACCAGAGGAAAGAGAGAAATTGTGAATCTCAGCTAGGACACACGAAATATGTCCTTATCCACATTTTTTTCTCTTAGCGAAGCACTCTATTTTTCCCATTTCCAGGCTTATGCTTTAAATTTCCGGATAACAAAAATCGCCTTCCAACTAATGAACCATGATTTTCTGGGAAGCTCTCAACACTGCGAGCATAACTTCCAATTTCTGCCTGTAATTAATAATTCAGGCGTCTTTTTATCCGCCAATGTAGAAAAAAAGGGCAAGAGAAGCGAATGGATGGCATGAAAGCATACGGCAAGAAATTTTCCACCTCATTTTCCCCGTCAGACACGTTTGGTGATCATGAGTATCGGTGTGATCGGTCCATTTGGTCCTGAAATCGGGGAGATTGGCAGGAGGGCGGAAGATAAACGGCGCCAAGTTGCTGAGCGAAGAATGGCCAGAATGCTTGTTTGCACTCGCTGTCGGTGTTTCTTGCCACCCAAAGAATTTCCCTCACTGATTTCGCACCCTTCGCCAACTTTGTGTGGGGTTGTTGATGACGATGCGATGATGATGCTCAAAGTTTAGGAAGCTGCGAAGGAGAATTTCGGGGAGCCTCCGATATTAACGCTCTGCTTGGCAATTAAGGGTATCTCTCCCTCTCTCACCCTCTGGAGTGGTGTGCGCCCCAAACAACAGGCAAAGTAATGAGTCAATATTGATTTATTTTCTGCAAGAACCCCGAAGTGGGGCTGCAAATAGAGTCTTTAATTTTTCACCATCAATACACACCCTTGTAGTCTCTGAATAATACACAAATTGCCGCGTGTGACTCTCGAGGGCCTCCAACTGGGCGCCGGTGATTTATTCATGGGACACCAAACGCATCATTATCGCTAATAGTGAAAGCTAATTGCTGAGCCAGGGTGGCAAATGTATTGTGAAATATTGCCCCATCAGTTGATAGTTGTGACCTCCGCTCGATATCGCCCCCATGTCAACTCATATTGATCCGCCATTGTGCATAATTGGGGCACTTTTGCCCTCTTCTCACCCTCCTCATTAGCGGACATTGCGGCGTTGTGCATCGCGCAAGATGCGATCTATGCGTGGCCTCTTCATTCACCCTGGCAAATGACATTGTTTATTGATGATGTGACACTGGCTGTAAATATTGCATTCAGCCTATATTTGCACTGTGAGAAACTTCGCAATGAAAATGTGATATGAAACAGTGTTTCGATCAAGGGGTTGCTAATGTGGATTTTGAGTGTCAAAGCATCTCAACTGCATCTATTCGTCGTAAAAAATATTTCGTGATTCTAAAAGGATGTGAATTATTGATAAAAAAGGCTTTTCTGTAATAAACCACCAAGAAATATTCTTTTTTTCACCAGAATTGTCACTAAAACAGTACTGAAAATTTTTATTTCCCTCAAAAACATTTCTTAACTTTCGCATTTCAGATCAAAACGGCCGCTAAATAATTTTTTTCCACGCCTGAATTTATCCATTTTCCTATAGAATCCTTCCTAACATTGTCTTTAACGCTTTAATGTCCATCCTTGGGTTTGATAGAAATATAACTAAAATGTTTACTTTGAAAATTTTGCAAGAAGTTTATATGATTAAAATAACACTTTAAGCTATAAATTGTAGTTCAACATGTCAAGCGATTGGCTGAAAATGTGTTTCTTCTCTTAATAGATCAATTACTCTTCCATAAAGAGTTTCTTAAGCATAAACAGCAGATACTTATGTACATTGTACGCAAAAACCGAAGATTGTCTAAAAGTCAAGCAAGGCAGCAGAAAAAAAGCGCCTTAAATCAAGACAATTTACGACAAAGCCGCGTCTTTTGCATGTTTTTAATAAGACAACAGGAGGAAAAAGACCTTCCAAGTTGGTGGCGTTGGTCGATGTCTGAGAGGGAGACACTGTTTCAACTTCCCCATAACATAATTTTCGAGATCTACGAAAGATATAAAAGTCTCGCGGAGTGATTGCATTCCTGCTTGCCCGCGATGATGGTGTATAAAAGTGACCATAATGCTGTACTTGCGCCCAGAAGAGCATTTTGAGACGCTCTTTTTCCTCCTTTTGCCCGCGTCTTTCACGAGATTGTTCACACCGCGACATGTCCGCAAGAGTTGGAGCATATTAGTCGGTATAATGTGAGTATATTGGGTGTAATTTATCAAAATAAACCATGAACTCTCGTCGACTTTGTTGCTCTTGAGCCGTGGCGCGGGAATATCGTTGAAGAGATAAATTAATCCAATTAGCTGGACAATTATTTCCATTTCGCACTCGGGAGTTGCTCATTGCTCTCTATTCTTTTCCCCTTTGCACATGCACACAAACTCCCCATTTCGCAAGGTTGCGCACAGCGCAATTGTTCGCCACTTGATGACCACGAAGTGATATGAATATTGAGACGCTGAAAAATCTACTCGCCACTCTCTTGTCTGCAGCATTTATCAAGTGCGCACCTTTTGTTCTACGGGGCGGCAAAAAATGGCCTCTTATGATTGATTAATATTGTCATTTATCAGCCGAATGATTCGCCAGTGTGAACATGGACTTGTGTACTTTCAGTGATTCCCATCGCATGGTCAGAATTTTCCAATTATACCACCTCATTTGTCCAGTGAACAACATAATCATCGAAACTCGCGAGGCTCAGCGACAGAGCGCGGAATGGGAACTCGCAGTTGATGTGTGAATATGAAGAAGATTGTGGGCAAGAGGAGGTCAACTTGGGAGATAATATGCCTTTAATTCGGAAGAAAAAGGTGTTGCAAGATTATATTAGGATTCATATTTTTTACAAAAATGGGCAATTTTTATCTTCTGGCGAGATCTGAAACGTTTCAATCGCCTGAAGTCAAAAAAAGAAAATAAACAATATTTATGGGATTTTTCTGGCCATTTCTGCAAATTTCAATGCACTTAAAATCGCTCTTTCTAGGCGTCTCTGTTGACAATAACCTCAAAATATCGCACCAAGACATCTTTAAAGACTTTCTTTGAAAGCTTTCTGAGGCACAAAATCATCTGGTTATGACTTAGAACTCAAATCTGCTGATTAACCGACAAGTTTTCTATTTTTTTGCCATTCCAAATCAATATTTTTGAGGTTATGTTCGACATGAACAAAATTTTCGGTGTTTCTTGGCATCAAAATGCTTCATTCTGACAATGATTAGCGATATTTAAGACTTCAGCATACGAATTGTCGTGCAAGAATGCGAATTATTCCCTAAATCTGTCCTAAATTCATGACATAACCTAGAAAATCAATGTTATATGATTGTTTTTATTGAAAAAATCAAAAGAAATCTATAGAATCGGGATAATTTGGCACTTCTACAAACTTGTACACCACTTAAGACCATACTATCTTCGCCAAGGTGTAATTTTGCAGGAATTTAATACAAATCGCCTTGTTTGCTCAGTTGTTTGCCCCTTGAAACCCGATCAAAAGTCAGGCTCAAGGAGAGACTTTCGCATGTGTGAGCAAATGAATAAATTGCAAGGGTATGGAAAATACACAGCATTAATGTGGAATATCAGATATTTTGCAAATTTATTGATCAGGCTGCTCACCATTGTAAGTCACGGTTGAATTATTTGTCTTCAGGTTCTCAGCCGTCACCTCAACACCACCCGGGAAGTACTTGATCGTCTTTACGGCCGTATTGACACGAATATCGAGGCCTTCAGTCAGGGCGATCGGGGCACAGGAGTATCCATTTCTCACTGCAATGACAAAAGAGGTAAAGCAAATGAATATCGCGACTGAATTATTGCACGCTGTTCTCAACATGCTTTACAAGCTGCAAAAATTGCACAAATGCCACTCGAAACATGCTTCAGTTTATCTCATGATACTTGTGAGCGCATCATAAATCGTCGCAAAATTCATATATTTTTTTTCATTATTCCGCATGGGAAAATCGAGAGCTTTTGCACAGCCGGAAAAAAACCATTGGAGAGCTTATTTTGTCATATTTTCCATATAATTAAAATGACTGGAAAGAATTTAACTGGGCATCAAAGTATTTTTTTGAAAATTGAAAATAAATACGCAGGGTTGAAGTATATATTTGAAAAATAACCCCCACAAAAATCTCTCAATTGCTCATTTGGTGCTTAAAAGGCATTTTCCATCGGCAAACAAATCAATATTCCTCTGATTTGCTCTTGTATTTTGTTGACTCAGTGTTGCTACTTTGCCGGGAAACTTCCAATATTGACAAAAGATGATTACTTAATGTATATTATAATTCTTTCAAGTGGCACAAACTCTGCTCACACTCTGCAAATAAGCCGATTGTAGGCGACATTTGCGTAGTGTGACATTTATAGCGGTCACATGGCGCTCTAGGAGTTGATTCATGGGATTGTGGGTGGGCAAAAGGTGCCTTTCTCACGTTGTTCTGCACGCAGAAGTGCGAGGAAGAAGTATGATTAATTGAGGCGATTGAGGGTGGCGAGAAGAGTGACTGGTAACATCATCAATTGACCATGAAATAGGAAAGGTAAATAAGGGCGAGACGATTGAAATATCATACATTTTTCTCTTTATTTCCTACAATCAATTGTGTACAGAGAAATGGACGAATTCTTACACATTTCCAGTTGAAGACTTCCTGAGAGCGACAGCTAAAAGCTCACTGGCGGAATTTGGCACTTTTTGCTCCTCATGAGGATTAAGCGCTCGGGAAGGAGTCTGAAGATTAATAAAACTTCCTAAGCCTTTTATTAACCCTCTCCCCCTAAAGCCGCCCCTTCTCGAGGAGAGGCGAAAACTCATGATAAACTTATGTTTTCTACATGAAATCCCTCTTCCTTACCTGTTGGCTCAGATGGATCTCATTATCGATGGGGCGGGGGAGTAACTAATCTGGCCGAAAGACTTTATTACCAATTTTAGTCTCTGTCAAAGTTTCTGCCACAAGAATTAATGGCGAATCCGAGTGGCGGAGTTGGAGTGCGCGTTGACTGAATGCCTGGGCATTGATAAGAGACAAGGGGCAATTATTGCGGTCAGAAGTGATGTACAGCTTTGTGGAAGTGTTTGGAAATTGAAAATGGCAAAATATTTATAGAATATTTGCATAGCAAAAGCTTCAGTTTCAACAAATTGAGGCATTTTCTATATAATTTTACTTAGATAAACAAATTTTCTTGCATTTTCTAGGTTATGTGATGCTGTTTATGCTTTAAAGTGGCAAATAATCGTCATTATCTAGAAACATATAGAGATTCACTATATTCACTCATTTCCAGGTTTGAAAAGGTCTAAATTAGTCAAATTCATAACCTAAGAATTTGATCAGAATATTTCAAAGCATTGTCTGAAGGCAAAACTTAGGTTAGATTGTGACAAAAGTTAGAATTGAGTGTGAGAAGCAGTTGAAAGAGTTGAAAAGGCGAAGAGAAATGCCTCTAAAGACGTTCGGAAGTGTCTGAAGTGTTGAAGATTCTGCAGAGGAATTGCGAAAATGTACAGATTTGTGGCATATCATCTCCCCCTTGATAAGAGGCTGCCATTGAGGTCACTTCCCGGGCCGAAGCCAGAGTAATTTCGCAAAGGGAGGAGTTTGCAGAGCACAACCCTTTGCATCCACCGTCAAGAGAGGAGCCAGGTGAGCCCGAGTCCGGGCCAGGTGTCACAGTTGGAGGAGCGCTGGAGGGTGATTGGTCAACGGCTTCCGTGAAGTCACGGAATTTTGAGTTGACGAGCATCAGAGCTCGAGAAAACAATGATGGCCCGGGACGAAGCGTGAAATTTATGCGCATTTTCATTATGTCCATTGTTACAAAGTCATCTTCTGTGTGGACACTTTCCCGCCCTCTTCTTCGTGTTCTAACAATGTGAAAACACAATTGGAAATTATGATGAAGTCAATGATGACATTTACATTATCAAAAAAAGAAGAAAAACTTCACCTAATTGGACATGCTTTCGGATTTCATTTATGCTCACAGACACGCGAAGATGTTTCTCTTAGGGCTTCATCACTTTTGTGGAGTTCTTCACTTTAATTTCGCCCAGCAATTTTTTTTTTAATCCAAACCGCCTCTGTGTCACTCAATCTCACAGCAATCGATGTCACATTGACTGGCGGTTATCAATCAAGTGTCCATAAAATTAATAAATTTATTATTTACCGAGAGAGCGTGCAATTTTGCCGGACGCAAAAAGGGCTCTTTTTTTCCCGCCCAGATTGATGATTGCATGCAGGTGATATGCAGAGCGCAGAATATTTCCCATATTTCACATTTTGACTAATGATACTCGCCAGAATGATTTCTGCTGCGCCGTCAGGCTGTCACGAATTTTAAAATTTCTCCTTTGACATTAATTGAAAAATTGTCCCATTTATCGCAATGCTACAAAATATTGCAAATTAAACACGCGCACAATGCCGAAAATCATGTCATCTGAAGCGTGATCAACTTTCCTGGCCGCGCGCGGAGAGTTGGCAATTTTCGGGCTGTAATTGAATTTCACACACGCAAAAGTGTCCTTTGATACACCCATGGAAGTCTTTCACCGTGAAAATTGGTCCAGTGCCCGTTTGCTTAGAATTAACACATCTGCCATTGACACTCCGCCGCATTCGACGCTTTTCCGACTCCACGGCGCGCATTGTTCGCACTGGAAATGCTGGACGAATAAAAAAGGATGTGACCAGCGATGGTCGGTCATCAATTCGCCATCCGCCCCCCCGAAAAAGGTTCCATGGGTTCCACTTTTAATTGAAAATGTTTGCACGATGATGAGAGCACCTGTTCGCGACAGATGCAAGACACCCTGTCGTGTTCTCACCCCATTAAAAGCCGATTAGAGGGCAGGTAGGAAACACACGGGGTTGGAATGCCAGCACTATCTTCCAGGCATGATATTTTGGTGGTTCAGAGACAGAGAAGAAACCCTTCCGCCCAGTGCAGCGAGCGTGACGTGATAAAATTGACAGCGTGAAAGTGTTGGACAATCATTTTAATTACCGAATCAATTTCGGATTTATTTGAGCGGAAATCCTCTGGTAATTGGAAGAGCGCTTCTTCCAAGACAATGACCAAGAGGAGCTACGCATTGAGGGCCTCTGCAAACACTGGGGCGATGTGAGAAAAATAAACGAAAATCAATCGACCGTTCAATGTTCATTAAATCAAATTTTACACTTCATTCTTTGGGAAATTAAACCAAAGGCCAGAATACATTTGATGGTAAGAAAGAAACTTACTGTTTAACCGCATATCTTGTGGTGTTGTTTATAGATTTGCATGGAAAATCCTTTCTTGGAATACAATAAAATTCCTTGTTAAAAGGTGGAACACGTCATTTAGGGGTAAATGGGGCAGTGTTAGTGTGAAAATGTTGTTTCAACTTTAGGAATTTATTCCTGAAAAATCGGCTGAATATAGTGAAATAAGCACAACGCTCAAATATATTGAGCTTCAGGAAATGCCTTACATTTGGCATTAAAACTCAAGGGTTTTCCTCTAAAGGAGAATGAAAATATGATGTAATTATTGCATAACTGCCCTGCTGTGGGGCAGTGTTTGTATGCACTTTTATTTACCATTAATTTTCCATCGTGGAATTGTCAAATCGCGAGCAAATATTCACTGAGACTGTTTAATTCCCTACAAATCTACTATTTTCGCGACTTTTTTCCCGCCATATTTCACGTATTGCAACGCCACCAAGCGTCAGTAGTGGCAACTTGATGCGTCATTCAGTTATTTTTGCGTGTATTTCCTCACTTTTCAACATAAAAGTCGATAAACGTGATGAAACTATGTACAGAACAGCACTTTGCGAAGTAACTTCAATATTTTCCACAAGAAAATCGCAAAACTTCAGCACATTGAGGTGAATTTATCCATTTAATTACTTGAATTTTCCACATTCGTACAAGTTGTCAACCCCTCGGAGTTCCCTGAAGGGATTATGCTCGTTACATGAGCGAATATCTCGGCAATTTGACAAGGAGTTTGGCTTTTTCGCTCTCTCATGCCATTTGGCGCTGTGTTTTCGGCTCCCGCGTCGAAAGGCCAGTGCGTGAGGCAGACAATTGGTGAGAGAGAAAACCCATAATTAAATTGTAATAATATTTAAAATGTTGACAGTCTATGATTAAATGATTAAAATAATAATACAATGCCTCAGCGCCGTTTCCATGCCGTCTCGCATGTCTCTTGGCTTCTTCGCCCTCAACTTTGCCGGCGGCGCGAAGAGGCGAAACGGAGAGAAAGAGAAGGCCTCAGTCGACGTCTTTGGTGGGTTTCTTGGTGTTTTTTTTTTCGTGAGGGCGGCACAAAAATTCAACCATGCAGAAAATTTATGGACACCATTGTTGGAATTTTTACATATTTTAAGTGAATTTAATACACTTCTTTATACACCCTCGACGGCATATCTATTACCATATTTTGCCGAAATTATTTTCCTTCCCGCCACTGTAACGATAATTTGAGCGGGAAAGACTTCATGTAATTGGTTTGCTTTGGCTTCTACAGACGCACTTCTTGGGAACATCTTTACGACTCCAGCATAGTTAATGCCTTTTGGTGGATGATTTCCGCAACAAATGTGGCAACATGATGATCTCTGGGCAAATCAGAAAAATCAACAGTGAAAGACACTAGACAGAAACTTATCATTACCACTGAAATCGCTGGTGGAGAAACATTGAATAATTTCAACCCTCAAATCAACAACTGACTCTCGAGCTGTGCCAGAATCAATTTTCATTCCTCGTATGATTGTTGGTGAAAAATTTAATAGTATGGGCGCAAATTCGCACCGCCTCGCAAATGCAACTGTAATTACAGTGTCTCTGGAGGCCGAAATCCAGGCATAATTCAAAGGAAAACAAGCGATTAACATAATTTCATCTTGTCAGAAGCAATTAGATTGTCGTTGGAGGTTTTCCTCTGATGGTCAGTGTCGTCTCGCCGGGTAAGAAGAAAAAAGTTCAATTGCCGCAAATTGCTGAGCATCGATCTTCCTTGCTTTTTCTTCTGCCTCAACTGCCAAGACACACACAGACAACAATGGCCGAGAGGATTTCTCTTCGCATCGCGCGCAATAAAGCGTTTTGGCCACAAAAGTGATGCAGCCAGAGAGCCAATCAATTGTAATCCTTCAGCGCGATTGCAGAGGAATATATTTGAGGCAGATTGTATAGAGTGGCAAAAGAAGGAACTCAATTCAAAGAATCCGGATGATTTGGAAAGGAAGATTGTGACTTTTTCAACACTTCCACTTCTCAAGTACTTCTTCTGTGTTGTACACCACTTCTGACTGTACTATCTCCCCCTTGAGGCAAACAGACTTTCGCACACGGACTGGCCAATGACAATCCTCGAGAGGGATTTGTATGGACTTTTCGCTGTACAATTCAATTCTGCAACATATTATGCGACTTTTTTTGCAGTCTCTGATCGAACATTAATTGATTTACCGGAGAAAAATTATTGTCCAGCGCAGTTTTTTTTTTCCTCTCTCTTCGATTCACATTACGAAAAACTCGCTGGCATTCTTTTATCTGTTCATCCACTGTGACAGCATTTTTGTACATATGGCAACAATTGCATTTTAATGAGTGCCCGCGGGACTTCCCCAGCACAATTGGTCAGCTTTGTATTTAATTACCTTCGGACCTTGCGAATTGCATTGCAAGTTGTGTGGATATTGTCAAACATTTTGAAGAGATGCGCGCAGCGAAAGAAACTCCACTTCAATCACATCACTGACATCCGAACACGATTCAGTCGGCATGACTTTTGCCGTGCACACAAAGAACCCCAGATTTCAAGCCATTTAAACGCCAAGTCAATTAATAAAGGAAGAAATATTCTATTTCCATCTATTCCTCAAATTTAAAGTCGCTCCCACGGAGTTTATCCATGGACCACTTGTTGAACTTCTCAATCCAGTGCGCAGACATTTCTGATTTATAGCCACCCACTTCGCCTTTTCGCACAAATCTATACGTGTGATCCTGCCAATCCTGATAAACGCCCGTGAAGTGTTCGATTTTAATTTTGTCATTCTCTGCAAGAATGCAACAAATGTGTTTTTAGTGGTGGATATTTCCATGTGTGCTCAGTGACTTACCTCGCATTGACTTGAAGGACAGATGATTCTTCAGCTCCTCAATGCGATCAGAAGGATAGTCTTTGCCGAGGAAGGCGCAGGTCTTCTTAATAACACCTTCAAGATCACGCTTCATCTCCTCATATGTGATAAAGAGGACATTTTCCTCATCCCTCATGCGCCAGAAGTCAAGAATATGATTGTGAAAAGGTCCACACATGACTGAAAGTGAAGGTTTTGACGTTTACAGAAGTGCACTGAACTCTCACACTTGTGATAAAGACAGAATTTCTTATCACACTTCGAGCTCAATAGTGAATTGTCTTATCTCTGCAAACCACACTTACTGTAGTCATTGACGAAGACATCGAGAAAGTCATCGAGACTGCCAGTGTATCGGCCCATGTTCCTCCAGTGGTGGAAGAAGGACACGGCGGCGTCCTTGGGATTCCTGGCCACGTAGATCACCTTGCTCTTGACGCGCCACATGTCTTTGGGCAGAATGTGGGCTGGAAGGTGGCTCTTGATGTACCGCTGACCCTGCATCTCGGTCAACTTTCTCACCGTCTGGCCACGTTCGCCATTCGGCAGGTAGTTGAGCTCCAAGTAGGGAAAGCGATCCGTTAGCAGAGTGCTGCGCGCCGTCTCGAAGTCCAGGTCATTGTCCAGCAGCCACACCATCTCTTGTGTCCACGATGTGCCGCACTTGGGGAAGCTCACGACCCAGATGTCACTGGGGCGCCCCTTCAGGCTCTGGATCTCGGGGTAGATCTGGCCGAAGGTGGGGAACAGCACGCAGGGCTGCAGCGACCACTTCTTGGCCACCGGAATGTCTTCCGGCTGATCGGTGTTGTTCACCTCCGACAGCTCAATTGGGCGACTCACTGTGAACTTCTCGATGATTTCGTTCTGTGGAATCTTCCAGTACGTCACAGGCATGATTAGCACTGATTTGAGCACAGTGTTGACAAGACGTGGCGCTTGTTGAGAGCGTCCGAGGGCAACTAACAGAGCAATTGCGCGAACGACTGTTTACCATACATATCAATGCACTTCTGCACTTTCACTTTACTTACTGTCTCCCGAACTGAAGATTACAAGCGAGAATGTGTGTTTCTACACTAACAAACTCAACACAGACACCAAACTACTGGATGTGCGAAAGACTTATCCATATTAAGGGGATGACAAGTAGCTAAAAGCAGTGATTTTCTGGTGCTGCAGAGGATTTTTAAGGACAAATCTTGCGATGAACAGAGCTTTGAGCTCAAAAGCTCGGGTATTAATTTCATCTGTGCCTGAAAATTGCCACTTTTCGGCCCTTAAGACACATCCAGAATGGGTCAAGAACTAACAGTGATGCTGCAAAGTGAGTTTTATACAATTAAATTATTTGAATCACATGAGAACTTCATCTGCAGCCCAACCTCGACATTAATTGAGGAAAAATTAATTCTCAGTACTTTCAGAATGAGCAATAAGCATTAATTATCCGTGAAGAGAGTATGAAAAAGAACGGTAACAGCGGCAACGCAATATTTAGGGGGTCATAAACGCAACCGACAAATGATCATAAATTGTGGGTAATATTAAAAATTCAACAGCTCTATTAATCCATTAATGTAATAAAGTTGTAAAGTATAATGCTATGTGCATTATATCCATAAACTATTATGATTTATCATGTTCAGTGCATTCTCGTAAATTCACGGGCCTTTTTCCCCCATTTGCCGGTGCTTCGTCTTCCAACATATGACACTCGAGCTCCACCCGCTGAAAATCATCATCATCACAGGTAAATTGTCATATAATGGTGAGCAAACAGACACACACCTTAAGAATATATTATGCAAATGACGCCTTGTCAAACAATGCACCGAACAACAATTGCTCTGTTGAGAGCGTGACAGTTGTTTCCCGTCTAATTTATTTTTATAACTTTTGCCATAGCAAGATAAGACACACATGCATGTGGGAATCAAGAGGACTTATCAAATATTACACCGATACTGACAGCTTCTCAAGATAAGCACAAAACTAGTCAGTGAGACACACTTTCGGGCTGTGTCTTTACACTCTCGCGCAAAGGACAATAACACAACGTCCAATGATAAATTATTCTTGTTTACATTCTTATTGAAATGCTCAACTATATATATATATATATATGCGCCATAGAGGGAGAAACTAGAATAGCGCAGTGAGATAAAGTCAGGCTTAACCTTAATTTGTATTAATTTATTCTCCTCTTCTATGAATTTTAATACGCGCCAAACACCCAAGCCCAAGAGTGTCTGTGTGAATGTGAGGGACTTTAATTAAAATATAGCGCAAGGCATCGAGACAAACTAATTACTCTGTGCCTGAATGTTTCGATAGGTATCAAAATACATGGTTAAATTGCCAATTAAAAGTGCTATTTTATTGCATTTGCCTTCACAAACACCTCAATATATGTCGTCCCAAAATGACTTCAATTGGAGAAAACTCCACATTAGCACGTCACTTCAATTTAGATTAGCGATAATTGACGCTGGATTTTCTCTCTCTCTCTCTCTCTCTTTTGCTGGGCAAATGGGCGGAGCTTCTCAGTGGGCGTGGCTTGAATGACATCTCAGTCTTTTACCGAAAAATACACTGACGCTTTTGATCAAAGGCATCATAATTAACACACATCACTCCATCAGATACTCTGTTTGTTGGGCAACATAAACACATTTTCACTGCAACAATTGCACAGAGAGAATCATTGAAGTGTAACTTTCGTGAAGTTTACTTAGTATACATGCTGTACTAATTGATGTTTTCCTTTTGATATTAGCTGTGTTTGTTTGCAAAATTTCAACAATCTCAGCCCGAGAAAATTGGATATAGCTTTCGGGGGAAGTGGAAAATTCTGACGAGAGTGGAACTTTTGCCAGTGTGAAAGTCAAATGAAAAGTGAATTTTATATACATTCTCCATGATTTCGAGTGAATGAAGTCAATATTTCGTGATGAAAGAGATACAAACACACACACAAACACACATTTCATATTCTCAAATTCACTTTGCATAATAAATTCGTGTGCTCTGCCACTTCTCAGCACTGTGCCTGATATGTGTTTGCCATATTTGTTATGCAACCATCTCTGACACACTGTCATTGAGCATTCCGTGTGTTATCATTTGACTGAAGATGTGTGGTCATGCATTTATGATGGTATAAATAGGAGGCAATTTCGTCAATCGATGGACACATGGACCACTTATCTAACACACTTGGCAGCTGGGGAGCCATTCGCCACCCTCCCGATGCCCCATGTATTGGCCACTGGGCCCAACAAAGAAGCTGTAAATCACCCCTGAGCCGCCCTCGAGGCTCCAATTTTCTCACAGTTTCACCCCCGAACGCACACTGATATTGAGCAAATAAATAAATAATTAGTTCTGTTTGCCAACCAGATGTAATCCACCCTATCAAATGTTTACCTGGAGCGCTCATATGTACACTCAGGCTCACAATGTGTGACAACCAATGGCAAGCCCGGAGAACGCATGTTTGCATTGAATTATACATCTTCCAGGAAACTAATCTAAATGTAGCTTTTGCATCACAAAGAATCTCCAAGAGAGATGAGCTGCTCTAAAGCTCTCAAAGTTTACTATTGAGAACAATCATTTTTCATTATTTACATCAGAAAGATAAGAAGATTCTGGCAAATGTGGGGCAGCTTTAAGTGGATTTGGGGCAACTTTATTCCACCGTTGATGCGTATTTTTCAAAAGGGGAATATAATATGGCTAAAATCACACTTTCACAATTTGTATGAAAAATTCCTCAACACTTCTCAGGACTTCAGACTTTATGGATTGTTTATGAAAAGACTAAAATGCACTAATAACTGAAATTGCAACACTTGCACTTCCTTAAACTTCAACTGATCTGTACACCACTTCTGGTAACAATATCTCCCCCTTGCTTACTTCAAAGTGCGCGCTTTTAGTCTCTCATCCACGCATGGAGCATTGACGATTTTTATGCGGCCTCATTTGTCTCGGTGACACAATTCAACATCGTAAACACGGCATTTATCGCGGGAACTTCGCCTCCCCCTAATGGCATGCTCCCGAGGATCATCAACTGCGGGGACATTGATCGAAAATGGGGGTCACAAATGTTTCTGGGACAGAACGTAAAAGTGGATGCGATAATTTGGCATCCGTGGCTTAGATACAGATGACCATAGAGCACAATGAGCAATTTATGGCCACTTTATTGCATACTAATTCGCCCTCCGATGGCATCTCGTGCAGAGGAAGTAATTAGGGGTTGCCATTTGACGGATGGACATTCGGGGCGCATGAAAAGTGTAATTTTCTAATTGCGTGGCGTCACCATTCGAATAACTATTTGGGTTATCGTTTGTGCCTTTCATCTCGTGAGAATTATAATTTTCCCTGCTTTTTTTTCACGAGCATAAAAGCCATCTCACACGAACCTTGCTCCACATTTTCTGCTCACAACCCCAACACGGACAGCACCCTTCACTATCACAGCGGCGTAATCTATGGGAAAAGTTTTCCCCCGTTTTTCCTCGTGCTCGTGAGCCATGATGTATAATGTTTTAATAAATAGGAAGTTAATTTTTTTTTATCCACACCCAGAGAGTGAGAGATTTGTCGAACTTCATGAGCTAAAGTGCCTCAGCGATAAGACATAGCATAGTGAAGAAAGCTCATGCCAAAGCAGCATAATGATGCATGAAGTGGGATGGCTGTTCAGCCATCACTCAGCGATAAGTTTTATGGTGGGTGTAGTTAAATTTATCTGTTTTTGATGAAACATCCCCCCGCCCAGGGAGATTTTCCAATCACAGGCGAGACTTTTTATCCATCGCGATATTATTCAATAAATCAGCAGTAAAAATTGACGGGTCTACAGGACTCTCTCTCTCTTTTTTCATTGAATAATAAATTTTATCGGCACGCTATTGAGCTCTTGTCAATGGCTTTTGCACAGGTTATTTCGGGTATCGAAAAAATAAATAAAATCGGGTGAATCCAGTGTGAGCAGATAATGCATATTGTTGCATTATTGATGCCGGCCTTTTTACGGTTCAGGAAGTACTGAAAAAATCTTATTAACATTGACGAAAGGATTAGCTTTTGATAGGCGTTCGAGTGCGCGTAGTTTGATTTCTTATCAATTTTATTTGCATTCTATGCTAAAGCTCAGGACATGAGAAAATTCAAGGAGGCACCAACTCGAAAGATGAGACCATTAACACCATTAAGACAATAATTTTTTTGATTATTTTACTCAAATGATTGATTTTTTGATTTGAGAACATTAAGTTACCTCAAAAATCGCTCTGCGACTTGTCCCTTGAGCCAATTGATTGTGACAAGTGTTGCGTGAAGTGTTTGACATCCCTCAGCAAAGCATTTCCCGTCGGATTAATTACTATTCCTGGGAGCCGAACCGCGATTTTCCGTGTGAAATCCCAATCCTGTTCAAACAAAGAGCTCCAATGCGTATTCGACGCGTGAAAGAAAATTAATTTGCTCATTAAATGACTCTCTGTGTACAGAGAGAGAGAGAGGATTTAATTAGTTTAGCAAAGAGCTCACAATCATTTACCACTTCGACCACCATCATGATCTCGTCGTCCCGGCAGAAGAAATAGTTTACGGGCGCGCAAAATGAGTTCTGTCTTGTTTCACTTTCCAAAACTCCCACGCTTTGTTGCTGCCCTGATGAGTTTTGGGGATCGGGCAAATCTCACTGGGTTATAAACACTGCCCTGAGCCTGAGGTGATGCTTCTCTGCCACCACGAAAGCCACAATCTCTACCCTCGCAAAATGTACTATCGCTCCAACTTCTGCTCGGCAAACATTCAGTCAAACAAGAAAATAGCTCAAAACCCTGGAATATGCACGAAGACGCCGCAATTCCTGCACTTTCTCAATCAATTAAGATGAATAGCAATGTGAAGGCTCACATCGTGTCATTTATTAATTGACTCACTGTGCTATCAATTTGGAGCGATATTGAGTGTGGCTAGACGTTAATGGGAAAG